CCCCCCTCCGGGGCCCGGGCCCGGCGCGGGGGCGGCTAGCGACCCCGGCTGCGACACGGGGAGCTCCGACGCGAGCCTCAACTCCCTCTCCAACTACGCCAACCTCCCCCGGAGCGGCTCCAACTCCAAGATCCTCCCGCCGCTCCCCCCGAGGCCCCCCAAGCGGGGCATCCTCAAAGGCCCCCGCCTCAGCATCACCTCCATCACGAGCAGCGACGAGAACCTCCTCCTCCGCAACACCCTTCAAAATGAGGTACCATACAATACCATCCACTTTTCCACTCCCTTAAAGACTTTAGTCTTATAGTTTAGTCTAGTAATTTCAACAATCAGCCCGCTGAAGGCTGGATAGACAAAGAAGGCATAGGTAACATGGAGCGATCTTATTGGTTGGAACGAGTTGTTGTCATAGACCAAGGAGGAAGTCATGGACTAACTTATAGGTTCCCTCGCTGGTTATTACCTACCTCCTTTGTCCATTGCGACCACTCGTTTCCACCAATAGGATTCCTCCATATCCTCTTTGTCTTCTTTGTCTATCGTTTTGTCTACCAATTTCAAGAATAAGCGCGCTGAAGATCTGTCAGCGGATATGCACTTACTGAGGGCCGATTGCAAGACCTCTGATCAGGTGCTTGTCAAAGTGGTGGTTTGAGCTAACTAGAGCTTGACCAAAGGTAGGTGTATATGACTCCCGCTTTTCTTCAGGTCAAGTCCCGGTCACCTTTGTTCTCTCTCGCAAACCAGTAGTTAGGCTGTTTAGCAGATTGACTGCTGATCTGAGTCCGACCACTGGTTCGGTAACCAGAGGTTGGATATCTTACAATCGGCCCTAATCCATCTCTATATCTATGTTGTGCAGGTGATCGCGTACCAGAACATCCCGGTCCTGCCGGAGTCGGACAGCACGGACTTCATCAGCGTGGCGTCCAACTCGTACTCGCTGCCGGCGGGGTTGGCGGGGGTCGGGGTGGGGGCGGAGGCGCGCTCCAAGGCCTCGGCCTCGTGCAGCATCGACAGCCTCACCGACTCGAGCTTCATGACCCCGCAGTTCAGCCTGAGCCCGGTCGGCGAGGGCCAGGGCCTCTACTCCAAGTTCAGCTCGGCCTACTCCTCCTCGGACAACTTCGAGAACTACTTCCTGCCGCTCCCGGACGTGGCCGGCATCACCCTCCCCGAGCCGAGGGTCGTCTCCATCAAGCGCCAGACCGGGGCCCGCACCGACTTCGGCTTCTCCCTCCGCCGGGCCATGGTCATCCAGAGGAACGTTGTCGCCGGCACCATCGCCCAGCAGGCCGTCGTCCTCGCCGAGCCCGGCGACATCGTCCAGCACCGCAACGACTCCGGCCTCCTCCCCGGGGACCGCCTCCTCGAGGTCGACGGTGTCGCCGTCGGCGAGAAGAGCAGGGAGCAGATCATCGATCTCATCAAGTCCGCCGGGGCCTCCGTTACGCTCAAGGTAAGTCTCCAGTCATGTATGCGTCTCGTTTTAAGGCCTCGATGCACGATCGAATTCCCGAACCAATTACCATCAAAGCAACCAATTACCGTCAAAGCGATTACCATCAAGCAGTCATCAGTCGTAAAATTGTTACTTCGCCGAATTTTCAAATGAAGGCCCGGCAGAAATGTTTCGTGTGGCAAGAAATGATGAATGGTGGCACTTCATTCTGATCAAACTTTGACGGCCCGTCCAATTCTGATCAAAGAGGACTGTTGCATGGTGACCCTCACACGATGACCATCAGTCATCAACCGGTCTACTTTGATCGGAGTTGGTTCGGAATTTGATCGTGTACCGAGACATAATAATACACGACAAAATAACTGTAGATATGGACGCATTTAACTGCCGAATTTCGTGCGGAATGATAGAGTGCGTCTGATCATAGGAGTCGAAAATTACATTGTATTCGACGTCATGACCAAACAGCTTACCTGGTGTGGTCATGTTAACAGGATGCTGCATGACGGAAGAAAGACTCCCGAAGATGCTTGATTGGGTTCCTCCTGGGTGTAGACGAAGAGAACGTCCAGTGAATAGGTGACGACAGGAAGTTTAAGAGGAAACGAGGGAGTGCCAACTCCTTGAAGGGCTTTGGGAGGACAGGAAACTAAACTTTGGAGCCTCAGTGTCACAGAGCGCCAAAAACGCTATGAAAGCGGCATATATGTATGTATTTCCTGCGGATCCTAGGATTCCCTATGATTTGGTCAAATCTTGATGGAGTCATGTTAAGACTTCCGATAGGAAGATCTTCGGTTTCGATGAGACCGCAAACCGTGCAGGAGAGCGCGATCGAAATTTCTCCTTGTCAGGCAGCAGCCACCTGCCACCAGTCGTCTTCAACTTTTTCGGGGGAGTTTTTCAGGGTTGGCCAAGGTTGCTACTCCCACGTATAATTGCCATTCTTACCCAGAGACAAGAAACCCTCCATTCGTATTTTGGTAATGGTAGAAACTTTTACTTTCGGGACTCCAACAGCCAACTGTTGGCCCTTAATAGGTGGATGGTTAATAATGTGTTGAGAATTTCGTTTCGCAAACGAGCCGAAGTTTGCGAAACTTATTTGGCGCATGACGTTACCCAAAGCTCATCATTCATCTAGTAGGCAGATCAGCAGCCGAAAAGAGGATGATGACTGGTGGTTCCTTGTAATTGGACGTATTTCTATCAAACGGAACTATGTGCATTATGACGTGAGCCCCGTTATGCACATATTCTAAAGGGTCACAGGGCTCATGTCTTAATGCACATAGTTCCGTTTGGCAGAAATACGTCCAATTGTCCATTAGGAAGTGCTGAATCCCCGAAATTAAAAACTTCCACCTGTCAGCAAGAGGCCAGTGGAGATTCTCTTTTCTCCGTTGACACCACATCAGTGATTTCTGGGCCGTGTGCACCGTGTCAAGTAGAAAGGAACAAAGCCTTGTCAGCTATTGCCAAAAATTGAGCAATTTTATTGGTTACATGAAACCGGTTTTGCGGATTTGTGTGCAAATTTCAGTGAATTTTCTGCATAGCACAAAGGAAATCCCTCAAAATGTCCAAACGAATCCGCACAAACTTTCTCTCATGAAAAATTCCGTCCCCCTGTTAAATTTGGCAGTAGCTGATGTGGCTCGGTTCTTCTCTGCTAAACGCGGTCCATTAATCGGTCCGCGGTCCGGTAATCACTCTGTAGATGAGTCCACTGCCTCTGAATTTTTGAATTGATATCCATTGGCGGATCTAGCAATTTGGCAACATTGCCTTATCTCTATTTAAAATTACTGAAATGTATCGATTTTTGGAGGGGCCAGGTTCTTTGGCAAGAATCGATTATTCAACACAGGTTTAAAGAGATGAAAGCCAGTGTTGCCAAATTACTAGATTCGCCTCTGTTGATATCCAAGAGGGCGCCGAGCTCATGGTGTGTGGCGGGCTACGTAGCGGCCAGGGAACCTTCTAGCTGCTCCACGCCGCACAGTGGATCAAGTCAACAGGAAAAGTCGGACAAAATTTGGAAACTTTAAACGCTTATGACTCCGTTTATAGAAAATTTTGAGGTTCTAAAAGTGGTTCCATTGGTTTTCTCGTGAAAATTTTTTCAAGAAGCACCCCTCAAAATTTAAAATGTGGCGAAATAAATATAAAAATTTGCAGTTTTAGCAAAAAATTTCATGCCCGACCTCTCCCATTGACTCGATCCACTGTGCGCCGTTTCATTATCCTTGTTAGATAGTATCAAATGGGTATTTTTTTTCTTTTTCAGGTGCAGCCGATTTCGGAGCTGAGTGAACTGAGCCGAAGGAGCACTGCGGCAGGTGTGGAAATGGCTCTGGATTACACCAACATCATGTCCGGCACGCTGAGGCGAAGCAAACTCAATAAAGCCAAGGTATGTGCCAAGCAAAACGCTTTAGAAATCGTCTCCGTTTTATTTGTTTTTCAGTGTCTTTCACACAAATGCATGCTTATACGCCTCGTCTCCTTCGCCGTGTTGCCAAAGTTCTGCCTCCCCTCCCGTTGCGCCCCTCTGCGCAGTCATTTACAGGGTTGCCACAGTCAGAGAATACTGGGAAAACGGGAAATGTCAGGGAATTTTGAAAAGTCCGGGAAAACCTGGAAATGTCAGGAAAAAATCGTCAGGTCGCCATCGTTTGCGTTCTCAAGTAGGTTTGACGTTTCGAACAACAAATTTTGCCTGAAAACTATTTCCAACTACATATGTCTTTTTAACAATCCGTAAAATTGTCAGGGAATTTAATTTTCCAAATTCTGTGGCAACCCTTTTATGATATCTTGGATTTTATGTGCTCGGGAATAGATGGCCTGACAAACAGGAATACGTCCCGGTCGTTCATAGAGAAGAGAAGACGAATTGCGCGGATTTGAACAGGCTCAGTCGGACTATACATCTTGCAATTAAGACCAACAATTTCTAGATCATCTGTAAAAACACGTATGTGGATAGAAAAACCAATGACACATGCGCTCTTTCTAAACTGAGCCGGAAATTGCAGTTCTTAATTGTAAATGGTTGATCCTGGTTGATCTGTGATCATCAGGAACCGGTGCGGCGAGCGCCAATCTCCGTCGAACGATCATCGCACAACAATCGTCAAGATCTTAACAAAGATGACGTGGAAAGTGGGAACCGATCGCAAAGAAAGAGAATTGACTTTACACACGTGTCGTGTCAAAAATAATTGAATCGGTCGAACCCAAAACCCAAGACACTCATTTTCTGTTGAATCCGTTGATCTCTCAGCTCCCTAAGAATCGAATCTCGAGACTTTAGATCTTTTCGATTTATAAACGTGTTAATTCTTAAAACCCTCAGCTTCAATTCAATTTCAGGAAAATCTGATTTTCCTACCCAACTGGACAAAAACTGATTTCTTGAAAAATCTGCCTCCGTGTAGACTGACGATGAGGTCCAAATTTCCAACATTAGGTGAAAGTTAAAGAGCTGACACGTTTAATTTTTAAGGGGAGCCATTCACAATTTTTTTAGATGGAATCTTTTATCATTTTTGCGCACACGCATCAGTACATAAGCATGACCCAGCTACCATAGCTCTCCGACAAGAGCATATTAATAGTATAGTGATTTATTACGGGATTACTGTTTCAAGATTTTGCACCCGACTGTTTTTAGCTAACTTTAAAAACAGCGCATGTGCCATTAGTTTCCATATTGAGGGCTAACGAGCAATACCGCCTAATAACTGACAATTTTGGCACAAATGAGTCGGCAACTTTGCCGCATTCTACAGTATATAATACGCAAACCGATGGTTTAAGTTTTTCTCCAATTCTGTAGGGGAGCGCTACAGTCACGCTTTATCGTATGAAAAAATTGCAAATTTAACCTTAAAGTTACAAAAATGGGGAAGTTTTCGCTTCGTTCTGCAAAATCGTCAGTGTGCAAAGAGGCGGTATCGTTTGGTAGCCATTGATGTGCACTGTGCAGATTAGTACTCTTAGAAATAAGTAAGATATTGTAGTTTCTAATTGCAAAATGAAGTCCAGTTGGAATACTGCGGTGATTTTCCTGTTCCTGTGGAGCCCTGGAGGTCGCATTAGTCAGGGTTGCCATAGTCATAGGGAATACCGATAAATGTTAGAGAATTATAAAAAGTCAGGGAAACCCTGGAAATGTCAGGAAAAAATTGTTAGGTCACCTTTATTTGCTTCCTAGATTGGGTTTGACAGGGTGTCTAGCATCAGGATTCTCCCGATTTTCCCGATTTCATCAGGATTTGAGGAAAAATCGGTCGTAAAATTAGGATTTGAGAAAAGTCGGCTGTCAGTTCTGATTTATTATGCTTTCGCATACGCTTATGCAGAAATTTTAATTTTTCTCCGCAAAAAATTAGGATTTGATTAGGATTTGGAGAAATTATGAAATTAGGATTTAGCCGTCAACAATCAGGAAAAATCAGGATTTCATTAGGATTTCCTAAAATGAAAAAAAAAAAAAAAACCAAAACTAGACACCCTGTTAAATGTTTTGAACAGGAACTGTATGTATGATGTATTGTCTGAAAACTATTTCTAATCATGTCTTTTTTACCATCTGGCTTACCTTCAATCGTCAGTGAATTTCACCAAAATTTGTCAGGGAAAACAGGGTAATGTCCGGCAATTTCATTTCCTACATTCGGTGGCAATCCTGGTATCTGTAAACTTTTCCCCCCTAGAGGTGCGCACAGCGCCCCCCCCCCCCCCCCCTACTTCGATCCACCGACAGGACTTGGACGTCGGTCAAGAGAGTCACTGAAACTTGTCGGGCCGGCGGCGCTCTCTCCGTAATGCACGAATCCGTCGCTTTCAAAAGGGAACAAGTCTCTTCTCGGCAGATCCCTAGTTCGCATGTATTTCCCGCACTCGGAGGCTCATCATTGGTGGACTCGTTCTCTTCTGAAATGGACGGATCCATACATCCTCGTTCCGATCCGAGGCGTCCGTTCCTCCCGAGTGCAGGACGGGCGACGGCCGTCACACTCCAGATGTCGCCGACACGCCGAAGTGCGTCGCGTGACGTCACGCCCGCGCCCGGCCAATCCCAGCCCCGCAACCCGGCGGCACCGACCAATCACCGATGACGCACCGTGGCGTCGCCTCCGACACCCAGCCAGCAGTCCGAGCAGCCTAGCATGAACCGCCGCCGCGCCGCGGCCTTGGGCTCCTCCGGGCTTGTCCATTTTCACCGGGTCCCCGAGCTATTTGCACTATTTTTAGCCAGCCACCGATGGAGTTTCAAAATCCTCCTATCGGGCACTCTATGGGATTATCAGAGCAGGGTTCATTATTAAAAGTGATAGACGAAGAATACAAAGGGGATATGAAGGGCGCCTATTGGTGGAAGCAGGTAGTTGCAATGGACATAGGACGTAGGAAATAGACTAGGTAACGGCAACCCACGAGAGACCTTGTATTTAGTCCATAATTTTCTCCCTTAGTCTATAGGAACCACCCATTTCAACGAATAGGATCGCTATACGTGGTCTGTCCGGAAAGTATCAGGACTTTTTGATTATCTCGGAATGTAATGCATATAATGAGCTGAAACTTGGGTTGGACTTTGCCAATGTCCATTCCAATGCAGCCACACAATCGGGCTTTCACACCTTTAATCATTCGATTGCAATCAACTGATCAAAGTGTGTGTGTCAAGTGCTATCGTCGCGTTTTTTATTTTTCGTGAAATGACCGAGCGTGAAGATCAGAGAATTTGTTTTAAATTTTGCTTTAATCTAGAAAAAACTGCCAAGGAGAACATGGAAATGATTCGAAAAGCTTTTGGCACTGATTCTATGAGCAAGAGCAATATTTATGAGTGATATGATCGCTTTAAATCGGGTCGTGAAACAGTCGCTAGTGATCCGCGGTCCGGGAGACCTTCGTCGACGAATTCTCCCGATAATGTGGAAAAAGTTCGGGAAACTATTGCCCAAGACAGTCGGTTAACCATGCGGGAACTGGAAAAGCAGCTAAATATCCCGAAGACCGTCGTTGCGGAAATTTTAACTGAAAAACTCGGGCTCCGTAGAGTGGCAGCGAAATTTGTGCCAACGCTCCGGCTCATTCCTCCTGTCTTGTGCAACAGTTTTTGGGCAAAGCTCGGTATTCCTCTGGTTCCACATCCTCCATACAGTCCAGACATAGCTCCTTGCGACTTCTGGCTGTTCTCAAAGATGAAATCTCCAATGAAAGGGACTCGATTTGACTCCATCAATGACCCAAAAGAGAATACGACGAGAGCGCTGAAGGACATCCCAAAGGAGTGCTTTTTGGACTGTTTTGAACAGCTCAAAAATCGCTGGAACAAGTGCATTGTGTCTTACGGAGAGTACTTCGAAGGAGATTAAAGCCACAATGTCATAGGTAAGCTCGATTTCTCAAAATCTAAAAAGTCCTGATACTTTCCGGACAGACCACGTATACTCCCTATGTCCCATTAGTCTATCGCTTTGTCCATCAGTTTTAATAATCAGCCCTGCGGGCTGATTGTTGAAATTGATGGACAAAGAGCCAGACGAAGAGGATATACAGAGTATGGAGCGATCTCATTGGTTTAAATGGCTGGTTCCTGTAGACTAAGGGAGAAAATAATGGACTCATAAGGTCCCTCGTGGTTTGCCGTTATCTAGTCTATTTCCTACGTCCTTTGTCCATTGCAACTACCCGCTTCCACCAATAGGAGCCCGTCATATCCCTTTTGTCTTCTTTGTCTATCGCTTGGTCTACCAATTGCAACCACCGGCCCGCTGGCCGACCGATCCTTTTCCATAGGTTTAAATGGCAGAGCAGTCGGTATGTTGCACGCCACGCCACTGAACCTTCATGCATGCACTACTCCGAAATTCATCTGAAGAATGTTGTCGTGTTTTCCACGTCTGACAGTATGATGCCACATGGGGGATTCAAATCATCGTTCTCCACCCAAGATCGTACAATTACATTTCCCACATGTTTGCATTTGTCATTCGGCATCATTCATCCACACTCATTCATTCCGAATCTGATTGGTGCTTAGTGACGTAATCCGATTAGCCGCGAGTTGGAAATAGGCCGAGACCCGCTTTTCGCTTTTCGAGAGGTGTTTTTCTGGAGATTATCGCGCGCATCGATTTGCTCGCGTTATTTGCCCTCGGAATTCGTCGCTCTCGAGACGCAAAAACGCGCTCGGTTTTTTGGATGAGCCCTATCCTCCATCCAACTCGGTGCTTTCCAGGGCGCAAGCGGGAAAGGAGATAAGCCGTTATGTTAGCGGGGCGACGAATTGAATGCGCGAGGGTCGAAATCCGATTAAGACGGTGACCCATTTCCGGCGGGGCCACGAATCGGGGGTTGCATAACCTCGCGGCGCTCTCGCGATCTCTCGTGCGCTGACTCCCTCTCTCGGAATTCGTTCAAGCTAACTTTCTCCATGGGGGCGGAAGGAACAAAGAAAGTGCTCGCCGCCCCAACCCCTAAGCAGGGTGTCCACATGCCGTTTCATTCTCACGAGTATTATTTTCCATTGCGAATCGTCTCAAAAGTCAGGATATGTGCTCTCATACTTTCTTCACGTGGCTGAATCAAGGAAATTATATTTTCAATTCCCTGTGGCC